GACACTCTCCACAACACACTTAAGCAGTGGTAGTTTATTGAGATATGCTTACTTTAGGAAAACCGGCTCCGTGTCAGAACTGAGAAAAAGGCGCGCAAAAGCCCCTATTATAGATAATACAAAATACACCCCACACATCTCACATACGTCACCATTCAGCCCCTACGGTTACTATGGGAACCCTGACATATATACCCGCCTTATCTATGTCCAGGCCTTGCAAAAGAGTCTCCAAGGCCAGCTCCCTTGGGAACCGGTGGTGGGGCACAATCTTAAGGAAAGTTATGGCTTCTACGAGCATCAACTCTAAAGAAGAAGAGATTGGATTTATACTCAACCCTTCACTCGGAGTCTCAGAGCGGCTTACAAACTCCTTTCCCTTCCCTTCCCAACAGACACCCTGTGAAGTAGGTGGGGCTGAGAGAGCTTTTTCAACAACTGCACTTTCAAGGACAGCTCTTGTCAGAACTATGGTCATCCAGCAGCTGCAAGTGGAGGAGTGGTGAATCAAACCTGGTTCTCCCAGATTAGAGTCCACACACTTAACCACTACACCAAACCACTACACCCATGCACTCCCTTCAGGAATTCCCTCCCCCCTAAATTATGGCAAGCAGTGAAGTGGAACAAGGTGAAATGAAACTGAAGCTTGACACAGGGCTGGTATCCTGTAATGGTTAAGAGAATGAGCTTTGAATGAAGTCCCTGAGTTTACTTCTGGCATGAACTTTACCAAGAGTTCTCATGCAGCTACTCTTTCTTTTTCTCTGTGAGCTCCAGCCTCCCAACCCAACTACTACTTTCCTGTCCTACATTTTAATTTCTGTTTTTATAACATTCTGCTTTTAATAGTTAGCTGTCTTGGTTGCTATCAGGTTTTTTAAATAGATAAATGATAACACTGACCTACTTTACAGAGCTGTTGTAAGGACTAAAATATGTACATGAGATACTGAACAACTGGACGTGCTACATTAAGGTTAAGTATGTCTCGAAACTCTACCAGCAGAACCTGAATTAGGCAGCCGGAAAACATATCCAAGACCACTGAGATAATGAAGGAAATATTTATTTGATTTGGAAACAAATGTCAACATTCTAAGAGGATACAAACTTTTTTGATCAAAAAGGGTAGTGCAATAAATGAACGATGATTAGGAAAAGACAATTAGATGAGGCACAAAGTTACATTCATTAGCTTCAGGTTTCACAGGAATGGCCTCTTACAAGAGGGATGCCCATTTGAACCCACAAAGGACAGTGGACATAATTTTCAGAGCACTTCTGATTTCCCAGCTAGTGGGCTTTTTTCAGTCCAATTTCCTTACAACTACATAAGAAAAGGTTAAATTTACTATTCAGTCATCCACATATAGTCTTCAATCCTGCAAACTTAAAGTTGGTTTTTTTGCCAGTTTAAAGTTCCAATTTAACTACGTGTTCTAAGTTTTCTCTGGAAAAAGGGATGCATATCAAATCATTGCAGAGAGCTAGTTTGAAATCTGCAGTCATTTAAAACAAAGTGGAGACAGTGGGCAAAAGAGAGATGCACACCGAAACTGGCAAATAAAATATGTATTTATTGTCCTTGCTGCTATAAAGGAGGGAATAACACTTTCCCCAGCATTGGAGACTGTATAAACATGTAGTCAAGTGAAGAGGAAACAAGGTGATATAGTACAGAGGTGGTAAAATAGACTGTACCACTTTGATCGGCAGGTGAGAGACAGTATTTTTTAAAATGGACCCTTGCATAAAAGTTTCCCTGTAGAAAGCCAGCACAGCAAGGAGCAATTAAGGCTAAGACCTGATGCTGATGTGGCAAGATGTTGCTTGCAAGGAGTTTTTGCACGATAAGGAAGCCTGAGGCCTAAAATACTACAGTGGATCCTATCACCTCAGGATCAGACCACCTCAGTTTGCTGCACATATAAACCAGGCCTGGTTCTTTCTTCTCTTGAGCTGTGTTAAGCTAAAAAAGCTTACGCATTATTTCAGCCGCAAAACTTAGCCCAATGAAAACTTATCCACTTACATACTTTATCCCTCTCATTCACTGTGAACCAACAAGGTAACTGTACTTCAAAACCACTTTTGCAACATTCATAATGACCAAGCTTTGTGTGTATGCTTTAATAAACATTTCTAAATATAAAAGTGAAACATTTAGAGTTCTATAACCTTTGGGGAGGAAACATGAAGTCCGTTAAAAGAAAAATGCCAATAATAAAGTCTCAACTGTAACCAGATACAGATTGCCTATCTGCTGCTATAGCTCTCAAACACTTGATTGTTTAAAAAAAAATCAAAAATATTCTCACATTCTATTTTACTCTTCCCAAGATTGAGTTCCCAGTAATAATACAATACACAGATTGTAATGTGGGTGCCTGGTCTACCAACCTTCACCCACAGAATGCAGTTTCATGACTATATCCTCCCAAACAAGCAGCTTGGTTGTGCATGTATACACCAAAAGTCTTGGTGTTGGGTACACAGTACTGCTCAACTATTTGAACACATCATCTTAGAAATTTTGGGAAACACAACAAATCAGTCACTTTCTAAGAATAGCGTGTGCGCTTTTCTACACTATAGACTTTGTCAGTGCTGCTATTCATATCTCTTGTTGATTTGAACACAATGGTCTTATTAAATAGTATTCCATTTTATAATCAGTGCAATGAGGATTTTGTGAAAGGACAATTGAGCAATTTGCACAGTTCTTTTTCCAAAGCCCCATAAAATTTCTGCAGCTCTTGAACATACCATTTCAGAATTACAGTATTAGGTAGAGTTCCCAGACTGGAGATCCACCCTGGATTTTTTGAGATATAAAGCAGCCACTGTTCCTCACCCACCCCACAGTCCTTTGACCTGTCCCCCTTCCTTGGCCCATAACTTACCTCTCTGTAGTGGATTGCTCCCTTTCCCAACCCTCAGTGCTTTTCTTCTAAGTCAAGCTCCAGTATTGGAAGTGCTCAAGGGAAGTAGCAGGTGTGGGGAAGATTCACCCTCCACTTACCAGAGTGCATGTTCTGTTCTAGAAAATCCCCCTCCTGTTTTATATACAGATGAGGAAGGTCTGTTGCTGTCCCAAACAGTACGGCCCTTGTAATTTCTGCCACCTTCATCCCTTGGATGACTGCTGTTTCTAAAAGCACATGGGGCACAGACCCATATGAGCCTGGAATCATTGCTCATATGATTATGAAACCTCATTCTGCATTAAACAAGGTTTTGTTCCTAAAGTCCCATTCAGAACTACAATGGACAAGGTTCCCTCCAGGCGGGGAAGTGGTTAGATTGCTCTTTTTCCCAGCTCATGGTTTTCTACCCAAATTTCAATTTTAAGGCCTTGATTTGCAGTTTAAGACACATGGTAGGCACCTCAGGCCAGAACCAACAGTGTGAATACAGGAAGTGGCAGGAAAATTGTGTGCTCTTCTACTTTTCAGATGGTAGCCTGAGAGGAAGGATATTAGAAGCCTTTTCAGATAGGAATTTCAGGGCCAAAAAAATGTGACAGGAGATCCGTGAATTAACCATTTCAGATAGGAATTTCAGGGCCAAAAAAAAATGTGACAGGAGGAGATCCGTGAATTAACTGTACAGAACCCACAAGGCTAGTTCTGGGTTCCAGAAGCCCACTACAAAGGTCTTATCTCATGGAGCTCCATTAAGCATGCCACCTTTTCATGCGTGCATGCTTCCTCCTGCAGGAAGGACTGCACATGACACTTTTAAGCTCCTCTAAGCCTGCCCACACTAGCAAGGCCGTGCAGAGTACAGATTGGCATGCTTCATTTCCTCCAGGTGTGACATAGGAGAGCATCACAGAGATCCCCATGACATCACGGGGGTCTTTGTAGTGATTGCCCATGCCTGGGTGGAGCAGATAGGCCAAACGTAGCTGTTTGGTAGTGGCCCTCTGCTGGGCAGTGGACCTTGACAGATTCGCCACTGACCCTTATCTCCCGCCCCACGTACCCCTATGGTATCTATGCATTTTCCTGTGGGGAGGGAGCAACTGCCTACACAGGACAGGACTGCAAAAATGAAAAGTTTATTGAACACCATTAAAACCATAAAACATGACTAATGGGGGGAGGACCTTAGAATGATTTGCCATAAACTGCGCTCTAGAAGTCTGATGATAAAAGCATGATTTTCATCTTGCTTATGAGAGTAGGACACACACACACCCCAAATCACACTTAACCGGCCAACTCTCAATTTACTAACACGCTCTCTATCTTCAGTGCTTTACAGAATCTTTCACTCCTCTTCACAGCAGAGGCAAAAAGTCATCTTCCTGTGCAATCAGTCATCATCATGTGCATTAAAATAAGTTTTTAAAAATCAGCTTGAAAATCTCCCCAAATCACACTTAACCGGCCAACTCTCAATTTACTAACACGCTCTCTATCTTCAGTGCTTTACAGAATCTTTCACTCCTCTTCACAGCAGAGGCAAAAAGTCATCTTCCTGTGCAATCAGTCATCATCATGTGCATTAAAATAAGTCTTAAAAAATCAGCTTGAAAATCTTGACATGCCAAACCGGGTAATTTTAAAAAGGAATGTCCAAAGGAGTTAGGAATGGGAAAGAGGCCTGGGTAGCATCCTCTCTCCTAACTCTTCTCCTCTCTGCTGATGAGAAAGCAGATTCTCTGTGGAATCAGGGGGAAGTGCTTGACTGTACCACCTCCTTGCAAGGCTGGGAGTCTAGTCCCCAGGTGTTCCACGATTTATGCCGCAACTAAAATCTAGTTTAAAAAAAGGAGGAAGGACAGGTGAACGTGGAACAAGTGCAAGCCAACAACAGTGTCCTTGAACAGTGCCTGTCAAACCTCCAGATTAAAATGATGAACATCTGGTCAACTGGCCAAATCAATCAAGTCAGTCTTGGGAAGGAAGGAGTCTTGCTGCCATGGAATAAGCCGCTCATTCAAGGTAGACAGTTCTTGACTGAGAAAGCTTCTTTTGCTTAGGCCAAGCTTAATTGAACTCCTCGAAGGGTACAATGTCACTGGGCAAGCTCCCATTAATCTCTGGGGCAGTCTCGACACCCAGATAACCCAGAAGTATTTCACTCCGGCGCCGGGAGAGCTGGAGGATGTCTTCTGCAAGTAGCTGTACTGATGTGTATCTCACAATGTCCAGGTCAAACATGTCTTTCAAATACTGCAGGATCTGGTGCTGGGGTTTGGGAGAAAGGTAATTAACAAAATAAGCGGTTGTGAAAGAAAGTTGACTTATGGCCCTGTTTCTTACATATCTTTTTCATATCATTACATTCAACACAGTTATTCAAACGCGCACGGCTAGTTTATTTATTTATTATTAATTAGATATTTATCCCGCCCTCCCGCCAAAGCGGCTCATTAGCCATAATACCTACACAAAACCTAATAGTTTGTCAGAAAATTATATTAACAGAAACACAATGATAGAACATTAGTGTCAATATTGTATCTGTGCTGCCCTCCCCACATCAACAGACATCACACATCTACAAATTCTCTCACTCATGTATGTATTAAGCTGCCCTTCTACTGAATCAGATCCCTGGCCTATCGAGCTCAGTAGGAACAAGAAAGGGAAAAAAACCAAACCTAACAAAGAATTCCAAAACTAAACAAAGGTTTAGTGGAAAGGAGGGCCAATATTAAAACCTATTCATAAAAAGAAGTACATGTATTTATTGATAATATCAAATTAAAACATATATAAGGGCCCAATTACAGCCAATATACATAATTCATAATTATAACCAGGGCTAAAACAAATGACCTGACACGTTTCGGCCGGATCGGCCTTCCTCAGAGGTCATACAATTGTGGCTAGATGGTAAGTAGTTACACTCATAAAAACACAATCAAAAATGTATGCATAATACAATTTCAATTAGGACCATAAAGAAAATTGTTCAGTAGAAAAATAACCAGGCACCAAGTAAATATGCACATACAATCTTTTTAGTGCAATCACTAGCCCAGTAGATATAAAAATTCAACCAATGGTCCACAAATAACCTTCTTGGATTGTGTTGCCACAATAAGCACAAATAAAAATAAAAAGCAGTGAGGGTCTGCAGCAGGGGTCTTTCCCATCAAGCAGTGTGAAATGCTTTCATTAGGAGAAGCTCGAGATTGGCTCTTGTGCATGAAAAGCTGGCTGTCGCCCATCTGCATTGTACGCATTAATTCTCTCTGAACAACACCTACTGGTAGTCCCTGGCCCGAAGGACGTCTGCTTAGCCTCAGCCAGGGCCAGGGCCTTCTCTGCTCTCACTCCCGCCTGGTGGTGGAACACGCTCTCAATTGAGATCAGGGCCCTGCAGGACTTGCTGCAGTTCCACAGGGCCTGTAAAAGCAGAGATGTTCCACCAGGCTTTTGGTTGAGGCAGCAGATTTTTTTACCATCTCGGCCTCCCCTCCCCATTGTGGGCTTACAGATGCCTACTATCCTGCTAACTGTCAGGGTCCTTAGTCAGGTTACACAACACAGGACTTCATAAGAAGATAACTGTTTATTGGTAAATCCAGTACTAGAGACATGTGTACAGCTTGTGTCAGGAATGGCCGCCGCCTATACATGGGCCTCTAACTTATACTAGAATCAAACATCCCCCCAGTAACCATAAGCCAATGGATACATCTCGTGTGCGTGGGCAAAGCAAAAAGCTGTTAACTTTCCCAGCCGAGTAAAACTGCAGCTGGAGCATCTGCAAGGTCAAGCATAAGATAGCAAACAGCTGGTGAGCCAGGGAGAGTTGAGACAGAGAACGGGAGGGAACCCCTCCACATTCCAGACTTATGACAGGGCTACCTGAATAGGAAGCATATTAGGCTGCTCTGGAGTGATGTTATTTTTTTTTGCTGCCATTCTGTTTTATTTAATTGGCTTCTAATCATATGTTTTATTGTTTTATCTCTGTTGTGAGCTGCCCTGAGCCCATCATGGGATAGGGCAGGATATAAATGCAATAAATAAATAAATATACCCATCTAGCTCAGTGGTGTCTAGTTTGCCAAAAAGCTCTCCATGGTCTTGGGTAGAGACAGGTCTTTCTGAACACGTGCTATCAAAGATCTTTTGCCACCAGATGCCAGGTACTGAACTCAGGACAACCAGTATGCAAAGTATGTGCCAAGTGTCACCATTTCAGTTAATTTTGACATCTATGCAATATGCTAGACTTCAGTGACTCACACTTTTATTCACTACTGCCAGCAAGCATTGTTTTAATGTTATGGGGGGGTTAATGTTTTTTTTTTTTAATATGAGGTTATAATGTTATTTTAAAAAATCATTAAAAACAAATGAACTTCATAAAAGCTACAGTGCAGCAACTCCAAAATTCTTTAGCTAAAGTTGTCCCCCAAATAAAATGCTTACCTTGAAAAAACCGCAGACTTCTGACAGATGTTCCTTGGGCCCCAGAAAGCCAAAAGCAAGAACAGGGCTGACATGCTCCGATACGGAGTAGAAATGAGAGATGAAGCCATCTTGAACCTGCCATGGGGGAAGCAAAAAACCTTTCAGATCCAATTTCTGCTTATTCAAAACTGAGCACAACCCAGTTTCCCCAGGGCCATGGGCAGCCAAGATGAGAGGTTGCCCTGCGACTTCCCTTCTCTTGTCAGAATTCACCTTGGTTGCATTTGCACCAACAACAGCCACGATTGATCAAGGAACAGCCAGTTTCAGAAATACGTATTCCTTCCACACACCCTTTCACATTCCCTGGTTTAGTAATCAATGTTAATCCTGGTTAATCCCACTTCCTCTGCACACCAAATACTAACCATGGTCTGAAATGGGTTTGCAAACCATGGTTATCAGGCAACCCAGTTAGCAATAGCCAGGGCTCATGTAACTAAAGGTTAATGCCGACAAGGGAAGGATTCAGTCTAGAGATCAGCAAACCATGGTTTCTTTTGCACTGGATCCTTGGCCACACAGAAGACACTATGCATTCTTCCCCTCTTGGAATTCCACTTTTTTACGTACCATCAGAAGTCGCCGCTTTGCTTTTAGAACAGACCAGCAGGCAGTCGCAAGGGCCTGGAATTTAAGGAAATAAAAATCCACCACTGTTTTATGATGTTGCCCTTCCCCCAAAACATTATATTCTATATACAAGATTCACAATGGCCAGGACTCCTCCATGTATGATTTACTATATTACATTAAATCCCTACCTCTATCCTTCCATGGCATGCCTCTGAGTCAATGGCCTCAAGGTCCTTAGGTACGCTGATATGATAAACCTGCATAACAAGGCCCTAACTAGAGATATCTTGAAGACATCCTTCTCCTAACCCCACGGCATTGCTGTCTACATACATACAGGGGGCAGGAACATTCTGAAAGAAGCAATTAAAGAACAAGCAAACCAGATACAGCCCTTAAGACAGTAAGTTCCAAACTCTAGCCCCATGCTGTCCTTTGGACCTTGCTTTTTAATATTTAGGCTATTTCTGGGCTAGCCAATTTATGTGTACTAATCAAGGACCTCTCTACTCTCGACAGTGAACCGGGCCTGGAAGTATATCACACAGGCTGTAGTACAAATCTTGTGTATTTATTAAAACATTTATATTCCGCATTACCTCATGGCTCAAAGCAGCTTTTACAATAAGAGTTAAAAACATTCTCAGATAAAACCAAAAATAAAATAGCAAACCCCAAACCTCTCCCCTCCATTAAGAACCCACTCGGCCTTATGCAAGTCACTCTGCGTGTCAGCAACCCCACCCCACCCAAACGCACAAACTGCAATAAGGGAATATTACTACTGACCTACCATCATCATTATTTATTACGGTCAAAGCGACCTACCATATAGGTTGAGAATAACGTGAAGTGCTTTCAGTGCTTGAGTTATCATTGTTATTATGAGAAGGGCTGGTATCAGCAGATGCAATGTGTACTCCCCAGCCCTTATGACTCAGTTGTAAAAGCCGGCATACACCAGTTTGGCCACTCAGCTCAGGAAAATTGAATGTGCCAGCTGTTGGTGGCTAACCTGGCACTGCCTCCCTCCACCCAAGTTTCCCACCCTCCCAAAGGGCAGCCCACTGCACAAATAACCACAACAATATAACCCATACATGGCTGTTCATTAACTCAGGACGGCTGCTGAGGCCCTGCTCTGTGTACTTCTATCATTAAGTGGATAGTTAGCAGAGAAAGGGTGTTTTCTGCAGAGGGTCGTTGTCCATAGGATCTCTCCCCCCCCCCCCCCCATTTTTCTTCCTAGCACACTGATATCACTTTCAGATACCAAGCTAAAACATATTTATTCACCCAGGCTTTTCACAGATTGTAACAGGGGTTTTCCATCCATACCCCCACTGGGATAGTGTGGGTGGGTAAGTTTTTACTTTTTCATTTGCTTTAGCTGTCCTTTGCACCTGTTGTTAAGCATTTTAATGCTGGCTATGATGTTGCTGCCCCAGCAGCCCATGGCCAAGGGGCAACATAAACATTTTCTAAATAAGGTAGCCTCGATCTCCACTCTTTTAAAAGATGGATACGGCATCCCTGGTGCAGCCTGCCTTCCACAGACTTGCAACCCAGTTGTAGGCAGAGACCTGCCACCTAAAGACTGACCAGATTCACACCTTCTAATCTTTAGCTATGTCACAGCTAGATGCACTCTCAGAGAACTGTGGCTGGTAGGGCCCATGGCTCAGGGGTACAGCACGTGCCCTGCGTGCAGTAGGTTTAATCCCCTACATATTCAGCTAAAGCATAAGGTATCTCGACAAAGGGAGCTTTGGCCCTTTATGGCTTATACCCCCAAAATCTTGTCGGTCTCTAAGTATTTCGTATATGTGCTGCCGAAGCGATTCTCTAAGGTGCTACTGGACAAGAATCTAGCTGATCTTCCACTAAAGGATCTCAGAGAGCAAGATGGGCCTAAACTCTGGAGAGTTAAGACAATACTGAGCTAGATAGACTAATGCTGCCACTTGATGTAAGGAAACTTCACGTTTCATCCTCTTACTGGATTACTGTGTAGTAGTCCAGTCCCTTAAATCTTAGATTGTGACTTAATGGTAGAGTGCCTGTTGGCACGCTGAAGCTTTTGGCACTGCTGTCCCCAGTTTAGAAAGGTTCTCAGTTAGCAAGTCTTCAGGAAGGGCTTTCTCTGTTGGAGACCTTGGGGAAACTGGCTGGCAGCCAGAGTAGACAATACTGAGCTGGATGGTTCGACTGCTTATAAGGCAGCTTCATCTCTTATGTTCTCTCACTGCATCCCTACTCGGAAACACTGGGCTGCGTGCCAGCTAAAATGGGCCCAGGTGCAAGGTGACGCACCGTTTCTTTGAAGCTGTCAGAGAGCCAACGGTTGCGCAAGACAGCAATCACAGAAGACGGTGGGTTCTCCAAGTCCTCAAAGGCATCCATGAGGATGAAGTCCAGCACAATGTCAAAGAAACTCATGCAGACTACCTGTCAGAGGCAAAGAGAGAGAGAAGGATGCAGTTACAGGCAAGAACTGACAGGAGGCCAAGAAACATCTTAAATGATGCTTTCTTCCAGTTACTGGTGCTGCTGACCATTATGGGCTAAAGCAAGTGTTTTGTCATTTTAAGCCAGGCATCTTCCATGACCCCCGAGTTCTATAGATAGTTTCAGCTTTGACGCTTGAAAACGTATACCCTGAAAATCTTATTGATCTTTAAGGTGCTACTGGACTTCAATGTAAGTTCCATAGAGTATTTGAAATCTGCACCTTGGACCAAGACGAACCTTACTCCGTATCCACTCTGAGGCCCCGGTCACACGGGCCGGATATCGCAGGGGGGAGGTGTGGCTAAATGCCCCGGAGGAAACTAACACGTGGCTGCCCAAGCACACGTCACGGTCGAGATCCCGTGGTTCAGGGGAAATGCCGATCAGACGGGTATCCTGCAGCGCGGCACAGAAGCTGCGCCGCGCAATCGCACTGGCAATCGCTCTTTGTGCACATGCGCTGTTGGGCGCTGTTGCGCAACCTGCGGAGACGAACAGCAGCGGGCGCCGGATGCCACATAAGTCCACTGGGAACATGATCAGACGCCCGCCCTTGGCCTGCGATTTCAGGAAACTAGTACCTCATAGGTACTAGTTTTTAACTCCGCACCTTCGGCGGGGAGCCACGGGTTCGCCACGGGAGCACTGCGCTTCCCAAATGTTGGGGTGAGATCACGCCCGGAAAATCCGTGGGACTCCCGTGCCTCTCCCGCAGCAACTTTGCCGTGTGACCGCCAGGGCCTGAATGGGTTTTCTGGGTTTTCAGGACAAACAAAAAGGAAGTAATACTTCACATATCTATAATTAACCCACAGAACTCACACCACAGGAGGTGATCACAGCCAAAAGTTCAACTAGCTTTAAAATATGTTTTTGAGAGATTCCTAGAAAATTAGGCCTTATTGATGGCTATTAGCCACAGCAGATAAATGAGACTTCCATATTCACCGGCAGCATCTCTCTGAATGCTGGTTGCTGGGGAACAAGCAACAGGTGAGGGGCTCTTTATAGGCCCCAGTTATGTGCTTCTTGGAGATATCTAGTTGGACATTATTGGAAACAAGGCCATAGGGTACAGTGAACCCTTTTCTGATTCAAACTTTATCTCACACATTTGCACACCTTCGAGCCTTCTCTCTACATTCTGAAATGCAAGAAGCTTGTTTCAAAGACACACCTGAAGATGCTCAGTTTGCCATATTCTGCACTCAAGAACTGGATTACATAGCAGCATACAAACTTTTTTCTTTACTGTCTTTTTGCTCCATTATTTTTGTTTTACAGCATTTTAATATCTTTTTAAAATGCAAAAACAGGCATCAGTCTCACTACCAAGCCTCATCATATTTTCCTGATTAAAGTGACACCCACAATTTGTATCCCAAGGGCCCATGAGCCATAAAAGAAGCTCCTGTTTTCAAAGGGAACCAGAGCACTCACAAAATTCATTAACATCCCCCAAACACTGCACAATGGACAGATCTGGAGGTACTGCAAATCAGCTTGTACACCTGCAGTGTTTCCGCAGGGCAACATTGCAAATGGGCTCTCCCTAAAGAAAAAGAGTTGCACAAACCCCTCGTCCTTCCAGTTCCTTCTGAGTAGTCGGCCAAGTTTCTTGTCTCAGCGTGTAGCGCAGCATTTCATCATAGGTCTCCATGAAACCCTTGGTGTTCTTGTGGGGAAATTCAGAAAACCAACAGAGAAAGGTTAATGGGTAAGGGGAGGCAGTTGTGTTGTGGCTACATTTTAATGCTCTCAGAAGCTTTTTATTTTTTTGGAGGGCAGATTGAACCTGCCTCATTTCATGTCAATAAGCCTGGAAGAAGAAGAGGAAGAGGAGGAAGAAGAGATTGGATTTATACCCCGCCCTTCGCTACCCAAAGGCGTCTCAGAGTGGCTTACAAACTCCTTCCCAGTGCACTTAACCACTACACCAAACTGGAAGGTCATGTCAGAAGTACGCCTCATCAAGGACAAAATTTGGGATGGTGGGGATTACTTCACCTGTCTCCCTCCCAGCAGACCCCTGCCCCATTGCCCAGAGAAGTCATAGGGCAGATGCCTTCTGGGGTTACTGGAAGGGAAGCAGAGCTGCCTCCCCCAGCTACTGGGGCCCTTCTGGTCATCTCTGGGTAAATTGTCTCAGCCTTTTCCTCCTCCTCTTCTGCTTGCCCATCTCTCCTTGTTATCAGTCCTTAGCTTTCTTTTAAACAGTCCCTTCTAATGTGCCTCCTGCTTCCCACTTCTCTGGTATACAGCCTGGTGGTCCCACACTGCCATGCCATGCCCAATGGTGGCACCATGTCCCCACCATCCATAGGAACAGGTAGGAAGGAGTGGACGCCCAAATCCCCCTGGGCCTTGCTACAACTCGCCCACTCTAACGGGCTATCTGGGAGCCTGGCATTGCTGCAGGAAAACAGCAGGGGAACCTCAGCTAGACCCTCAGGTATCAGGATCATACGAATGGAACAATGAATGCTTTTGTAGTATCTACAGTGACTGAGATCGGATGAACTGCCGTATTGCCACAGGCAGCCCTGGGAGGCAGAACAGAATCTTATTTCCAATAGTGTTGCACACTGTATTCTAATTGATATGAGCTCTTTGGGGAGACAATGTATGCCCAAAAAGCAGGATAAAGATAAAAACCAGAAGGGCTGAAGCCACACCCTTACTGTTCAAAACTTTTATACACAGATGATTACAGCACAGAAAGTTTACCACTTCAGAGAAAAGGCCACCGTAACTGTAGGTAGGGGTGTGTGTGTATGAAATCCAGCCCCAAAGCATCTTATCCCTCAAGGGAAGGGGGGAAAATAAGCTTTTGAATGCATTCTGTATACCACTCCCACCCCCAAGAAACTGGGAAGAGGGTCTTCAGGTGTGAATGCAAACCTCTTCCTTATTACAAGCCTCCTACCTTTTCGGCCTTGGTCATCAGTCCCATCACCATGCGTTTGCCGACCTCCCCAAAAAATGTCTGGTGGTTCTCAGTCTGAAGAAGTTCCTGCAAAGAGACCACCCAGTTTTCAGTGGGGGGGGGGACACCCCTTGTTTCATGGAAGGGGAAAGAAATGCTGGAGCAATTCAGAGAGGCCATCGAAGAGCAATGCTGTCCAAAGAAAAACTAGGATAAAAACATTTCTGCAATTGGAAGACTCACCTGAAAAGCTTGCCTGACACAGTGGAGTTTTGCCAGGAAGTCGTGATCATTGTAGCAGCCTAAAAGCTCTGTTCTAGAAGAAAAAGACAGTGGGGTGTTACAAACTTCACTATGACAGGCTTTATGAATCACTGGGGCTTTGTTTGTTTGTTTTAACATCCATTGAAGGCTGTGCTGGAAGGCTGACTTAGGTAAAATGACAAGGTATAAATATAATCAAATAGTCAATAACCAGTAGCTTCAGAAACACATACCAACTGTATTCCAAAGCAGTCTGCAATTCAGGCAACAAAATGAGATACTAAAATAGATTACATTTCTTCAGACTCACCAGTGGTGGGGAGAGAGGAGCTATACTGTTTTTGGATGCCTTCCATGGAAGAAAAAAGCAAGACTTATTTCACGTACAGGACTAGCACATAAAGGAGAAATGAGCCTAGCTCATTGTTTGTTGTGCTAATTTTCTAACTGCAGGCGGACTTTCCTGCAGAAAAAGCTGAAGAAATAAGAGGGGAGACGGCAAGGATCCTACGAAAAGCAAAGCTTCCCACCAGCAATATAACACGTAAGGAGAGAAATGCCATCAAGACCCTCAGTGCGGATCAAGACATCATTATTCTACCAGCTGACAAAGGCAATGCCACAGTGATCATGAACACAGAAGAATACAAAGATAAGATTAGAGAACTTCTGGACCCGACCACATACCAAAAACTAAAAAGAGATCCTACATGCAAAATCACCAGACAAACGAGCTCACTGGTCAGGAATTCCTTATTTCATCTCAACACACACAAGAAACTATGCAAGACAGAAGCACAGCCACCACGACTGTATAGACTCCCTAAAATTCATAAGGACTCAGTCCCACTCCGACCCATCGTGAGTGCCAGTGTTTTCCCGACATATGAATTAGCTAAATACCTGGCCAATCTTCTTCAGAACCACATAGGAAAAACAACAACATACATCAAAGATTCAACACGTTTCATCAACAAAATCAGTTCTCTGAAACTTAACCCACAGGACATACTTGTCAGTTTTGATGTGATATCTCTTTTTACCAAGGTTCCGGTAAAAGAAACACTCGCGCTTGTTAATAAAATTTTTCCAGATGACATAACAGCCTTATTCCACCATTGTTTGACAACCAGTTACTTCCAATGGGATAATGAATTCTATGAACAGATAGATGGGGTTGCCGTGGAAAGCCCTCTCAGCCCAGTTATAGCAAACTTTTACATGGAGCATTTTGAAAAAACAGCTTTAGAATC